CAGGACTTAATGCTACTGAAGGTGTTTATATATTCCATTTATTGGGTCACCTGTTAAAGACTTGAGATTGCAAACCTAAGCTGATAAAGATCTCCTCTCAATGTTACAGGAGGTTCGTATATTGCTACCATAAAGTAATAATTTTTCAGTCATCAACAAGGCAGCTGTAACATTGCTTCAGATCCTGCTTTTGGTATAAAAAGCAAGAGATGAAGATGATAGAAAGCACCAGATGTTCTTGTACATGTGCAAGGAAAAGGTGCACACTCTAGTAAGTGTCTGCTTACAGTTTAGCGAACATGTGGTAGCTACAATTCTTTCCACAAGCCTGGGAGCCAAGAAATGGCCATCATATCCTTGAATTTTACCTCAAGGCATTATTTAAGCAGCTATGACACATATACTTACTAAGACAACCACACCACCTCTGGCTCAAGAAGTTCCCGAATCTCAAAACATTGGCACTCAGAGAACTTATCAAACGAAGAGAGAAAAGCCAATCAATCAATCACTCTTTGCTTGCCCTGTTCTCATATTCTTCCCAAGGCACCTACCGCTGACCACTATCTGTGTGGGTAAATAGACCCAGTTGTAAAAGAACAGATCACCACCATCTTAGCTCTATGATGAAAGTTCCATTTTCTTTTGATTTCTCCAAGCTATTAGTAAGGATATGATGGCTTCCCCACACCCTCCTCCCTAGAAGTCACCATACAAGTTCCTGTTCCCCCTTCAAAAATCCTGTGACCTGGATTCCGTTGCCTCAGCATGACCATGTCCTCCCATCTGGGACCACAGGATAAGACAGACACCTACCATTTCATAATGGCCTCAGAGAAATACATATGCAAATAGTTACTTAAGTTCTCAGTATTGTCCTTCCTGACATAAACTCCACTCGCAGTCCAAAGGATAAATCAAGCCAATAGAAAATAGAATGGAACAGGCATTAGCATCTATGTAGTCAAATGCACTTGTAAGATTCTTACTGACTTCAGCAATGCACCTTCATATCACACATGCTAAGATGGCTTAGGGATTTTTGGAGCTGAAAGGGACAGTATTGCAGCGGGGATGAATCCACAGTTCTGTCTATAGGAGGGCAAACTCAGAAAAAGGTCAGGAAATGAAAGCAGTAGGTCAGAGGGTAAGCTTATGATGCAGAGGCCAGAAAAGGAACAAGTTTAAGGACTGATTTGCATTGTTCAGCTCTACTTGGAGAAAGGATCCTTCTGAAAACTCTCTGCAACTTGCAGTATACTGTTACCATCAAATATTAAAATGAGAATAAATCTCTAAGGAAAAAAAAAAACGTGATTTATGTCATTTGAAGATACAGAACATTTATAGAATGCCTGTATTTAAAATAGCAGGGAAAAAGCCTTTCTGAAGCAAACTCATGACAGTTCACCCAAAGAGCACAATGCAGAGCCAGGATATCAGCATCCACCAGAAAGCTGACCGGGTTTATCAGCCCAAAGCACCACACCCCAACAGCAGCAAGTTATCAGCACGTGGCACAAACTGATAAACTTTACATCTGCGCGAGCTTCGACATAGGCGGCTTTCAAAAAAAGCCGCCCAGCTCACAAAGTTCTTGGGGAGTGGGGGGAGACGACGGGAGATACAAGCACCTTCCCGCACCGTACCTGCTTTTACATAGCCAATGAGCCCTCCTGATGCCACCAGGGCGGCGTAGCCAAAGCCGAGCCAGTCCACTGCCATGCTGAAAACTGGAAGAGAAGTTGGGGTTACGATCAGTATCTTTGAATTTTTCAGGGGAAGAAAAATAAGAGCATTTTACCGGAGGGGGGGGGGGGCGCTTTTCCACGAGCAAGGCCTGCCTAAAGCCTAAGCCCTAAACCGAGTCCAAGAAATGAAACCCGATTTGTTGGGAATGCAGCCCTGGCGATGGCGGGGCAGACTTCGGTGTCCGTCGTGTCCCCCCCCCGAGGGTAGGCTGGCAGCACTCACCTGCCCGGCGGACCCACTCCACGGCAGCCCGGGGCGGAGCAGGCTGCGGAAGGGGAGGTGAGGGAGCCACGCACCGCCCAAAACTTCCCTTTTCCGGCTGTTCTCAGAGAAGGAAGGAAAAAATAAAACCACAACCCAACCCCAAAACCAAAAAACACCAAAACAAAACAAAAACCCTAAAAGGCAAGGTAGGGTCCGTCCCGGGAAAAAAAAGAAAAAAAAGAAAAAAAAAAGGGGGTTGGTGCCCTCCCAGCTACCTCCAGAGCTGCGGGTAACTCCCCCGACCCTGGTGGGGGGTATCGAAGATGCCCGAGCAAGCCCGGGTGCCTACAAATGAGGAGAAGACTTCAGTGCAGACGATGTTTTGTGTGCTTGTTCAGTGAGGGGCAAAGCTCACTCACAACTGCGTTTGTGTGCACCCAATCCATCCTCGTCCTGTTGCAGAAGTGGGGGTATGGGGTACAGCTGAGAATTTGGGGTTGGTTTTTGTTGTGGCATGAGCTACAACTCTGGGCAGCCTACAGGCTGCTTCTAGCTTTGATCAGTAATTTCAGTATAGCCCTTTTATGGAAGATGTAGAGGATTTCTATAATCTTCAAATTACAAGCACAGCTAGTGCAACAGAAACAGGAGTCTTATACTGTAGAAGTTACACAACAGTGGGAGATGGAAAACATCTTGTAAAGAAATGTTTTGCATTTTTGTTAATCTGGAAAAAATGTGGAGAGATGTTTATAACTGTCTACAAAGGTAAACTCTTTTCAAGTGCTGAAACTGTTTTTCTTCACGTAAATGGTGCTGCATGATTTGTTCCAGTTGTCTATGCACTTACCTCCCACGGACATTTAATCATACAGAAAGAATGAGCACTCCTCCAGCCAGGTCCCTGAGCTGAGAGGCTTCAGTTCCTCTTCATAACAGAAGGCACAAAACATCTGAGGCCTGTGCTTTCTGCAAAATGCACCTTTCTCTAGCTGCATTTCAAATTTTCCCATCTTTATAAATTAGCCTAATGGTCAGAAAGTGGAGAGCAGTTTAATTCCCTTGTGGGCCTAAGCGGTTTAAATAGAGATCTCCCATCTCCCTGTAAAGTACCACAACCAACACAGATCTAAGCTATACTGGATGGGGTTCCCTTTTCTTTTCAAGCTGTGTAATGGCTATGAGGTTCAAGTTTCACTGGGCCCTGCTTTGTAATCCAGCACTGGGGTTCCCCAAGAGGGGAAGGAGGAAAACTGGAAGAAATCCACAGCTGCAGGAGCTGCTGAACTCACCTGGGGCTCGGCTGGGATGCTGCTCACTAGGCTGTTGTTTCTTGCAGCCATGGTTCCATCTACTCTACCGGTGTCACGCACGCTCACCCTTTCTGACACAGGAAGAGCTTTCTCACTGCTGACATCTCCTCTCTGCACTGCTGCCTCCCCTCTATCATTCTAAGCAGTTCCCTGAAAACTGGCATGGAAAACATGCTGAAAAGAAAGATGTGCACATGGAAACAACAAAATAAAAATTGCCAAGTACTGATTAGTAGCTGAGCATTCACTCAAGGTATAGAAAATACGAATTCTCCTCTCAGTACTGTTTCTGTATTTCACCTTAAAAGCTGTTAGGACTCATCTTCTCTGTCTCCAGTTCACAAATTGTTCCGAGTCTCGTGACACACACGTGAGTCTTGTTACTACACAGGCAGTTAAATGTTCAATATTCTAAGTCTAAACCTTAGAAACAAAATTGTGGAATTTTTGCTTTTTAATTCTTGAAATTATGTGCAGACTGGATTTTTGTTGGTGCTCATGAGAGTCTGCTTTTGCAATTGTGATGCCCGTGGCCATGAGCTCATGTATTGAAAAATTCAAACAATGAAATCTGTTTTAGTAGTGGCAGCCCTTTTTGTCAAGAACAGACATAAGATAAGCACTAGAAAATAGACATAACACTTTACAAGTGAAAACACTTTACAAAGTATAAGCTTAAATAAGACAATTGTCCAAGTCCTATATTTGCTATGGGAGCCTTGTTATCAATTAAAAATCTGATTCAGTACCTTTCCTGCCAAGTCTACAAACTGTTTGAAGTCCTATATTATTTGCCTGTGTTTGTGTCCACAAACATTTGGGGTGTTATTAAAGTTAAAAGCCGTATAAGTTCAAACTACAGTACAGTGGAAACCCCTCTAATGTTGAATTAAACTAAGCTCATATAAATCAACTACACTGAATATTCAGACAAGGGGTTGTGATAATTTGTCTAAATAAGGGAAACAGTTACAGAAGATAAATATGGACACCCACCTCCAAGAGAATACTACCATTGCCACATGAACAATCTCGTAACAGCACTGATGATGCTCACTTTGTCTCAGTGTCAGAGCATACACAGAGATGAGCTGAAGTTATATCCTATTTTACATCCCTAAGACAGCCTGCATTCCTGTCTCCAGATTTGCTTCAATGTTCTTTCTGATTTTCTCTAGCTTTTCTTTTGCTACACAAATAAGGAGGAGCAGATTATTACTAAAGTGAATCAGAATAAAGCATAATTCCAATTACTCTTTGAAGACAGAAGAAATAATGACTAATACTCCGGTAGTGCAGAAAACAACACTAAAATGCCTTACTTTAAAAGAAATAAAGAGAACATTTAGTACAGCTATTTGACCTTGTTCTCTCCAGTTCAACTTTGTTTTTCCTGCTTCATATTTGTAATAAGACTTAGGATAAAACTCTGTTCCCACAAAGAAGGTCAGGAATTCACTTTTTGGTTAAGTGCAAAACAGATGGGTGGCATTCTATCAGCATGACAAATATTCCAAATGTTAGATAATTTTTTTTTTAACAATACAGCTCAGATCAAGGACTTGAAAAAATACTATGGAGAGGGGGAAGAGAAGGTAAAACCTTATTGATATAAACTCTTCCACCTGAAAACATGTATCATATTCTGAACAAAAGATTTCAATCATGTGAAACAGTGTTGCAAAGACTTTCAAAAAAATTAAATGTATGAAGTATGAACACAGTAAAAAACTCAAACATTTTGCCTATAAACTCTATGTACGAGCCCATGTCAAGAACTAGAAAGTATGATTTTCTGTGAATGTATGAATGGAATGTGATCATCTTATTTTAAGTAATTTTAAAATGTTCCTTCTTACAGTAGGAAGAGTAATGCATGACAAAGGCAGATCATATTTTGAGTCAAATGAATAGTAACTTTTCTAACACTAAAATGAAAAAGTGTACATATTTTTAATTAGCATTTAGACAAAAATGTAACTGAGACAGATGCAGCTATTTTTATCATTTTAGCTGGCTTTTTCAGAGCCAGTTAAAAAGTGCACGCTATTGTTAATAGAAAAATATAAAAATTACATATTATGAACTTATTTTTGCCTCAGTCACTCCGGGAAGGTTGCCATCTCTTTTGCTACTTCCCAGAATGACCAGTCAATTTATTAGGGTAAAAACATTCGTTATTTTTAAACAACAGAGCGGTTCAGAGGTATATGTCCTGTCAGAAGTTTACATCCTTATAAAAACTACAGCAACACCAGCATTTACTTTTTATTCAGGGGAGAAAGTAGCTGCCTTCATGATGAGCTATTCTGTTTCTTTTTCTTCTTTTGCAGTGGAGCTTCCAATTTTTGCTTCTCTGGAGTAACTTCTCTCTTTTTTTTTGCTGTTTTATCACTTTTGTCAGTCCTACAAACTTTGTTTTTCCTGACTATTGATGATTTTTCATCGTCATTTGCTGAAAAAAAAGCAAGAAATTATTCATACTGACATTAATGTCCAGTCTTTGTAGCCTAAAATGGCACAGGGACTTATTTGTATCTCATTTTAAAAAAGGGGTTATAAATGATTTTTTATTTAGAGTGGAATGTGCCATTTATGCTAGTTTTGCCTGTGATACGAAAATAGAAAGATGAAGTATGTAAACAGATTACGATACAGGAAAATAACAGCTAAAAAAAAAATAATACTGAGCCAGACTTCCTAAGTTTGCCCAACTGCAACAACCTCAGACCTGATTTTGTTTATAGGAAAACAAGACATGCAGTTCTATCAAACTGTTTATTCTTTTCTTATCTGTCTCAAAAGCTTCACAGTGGCTTCTTCAGTATGTTATTCCAGTAAAGAGAAACAAAACTTTCATATAATAAAGTGAAAAGAGGCTTATGTCCTCCAACATACATGCAGGCTTGAGACACTATCAGATTGGTAATAATGTCTATATCACTTGCCAGCGTCATATCCCCAATTCTTCAAGATACCGAAACTTTTTCCAAGGCATATAGTAAAAGCCTCCCACCTAGTACATTCCATTTCATGGTCGCATTAACAACTGAAAATACACACAGTTCTGTTACCTTGAGATAATGTTGCAGCTTTATCAGAATTTTCTTTCATTTCTGAAGCTTGGTCAAGCCATACTGCAAGACATGTCAGCCTAGCTTTGGTATTGACTTCACACAGTAAAGACGGCACATCTTTAATCTGAAGGTAATACAGAAAAAGATTAATTAAACATTATTTTATTTCTGTTTAAATTTACTGAAGTATTTGAAGTGAGAAAGTATCTTACCGTCCACCTTCTCCTTCATTTCTGGTGCCTAAGAATGTTTAGAACTAGAGGCTGTATACCAGTTAATGCTCACATTGTTACAGTCCTGTTCCTGATACCATTCCTCAGTGGTGGTTTTACAGAAAACTTCCAGTGGCTTTAAGAACATATCTTGATAAGCAAGATCAGTTGTTTCAGGCACATGGGGGTAAGTTTAACATAAGGAATAACTAGATGAGTCATAGACCCACGAAAAAAACATGTTAATGGTTTCAGAAGTTTCTCCAGAGTAATAGGTATTTTTGGTACAGCTAAAATAATTTGAATTAAGTTATTGCATCAGATTCCTTTTCTCCCTCACAAAGACAAGGCTGCTCATTAAAAGTAATCTCTTCAGAGTGTGTTTCAAATTGCTTAACTGCAATTGTATCAGTCAGCTCTGGGAATACTTGAGCAAATAACCTATTACAGATATCAGGGGATAAAGTGTCACAAACACATGTGCAGCATAACAGCATCAACCCATCAGAATCTACCTGTATTAGGATATTCCACCTCACAGAGCTGGACAGAGCAGCCCACACACTTATACAAAGTGTTAAAAAATTTTGCCTGCACAGGAAGAACATCACACATTTGGTCAAAATAAAGACAATGTTGCAGAGAAAGGCAACGAGTTCCCTGATCACTATGTGAATTAGGTACCAGGGGAACAGAAATTTGAGGTGAAGGGAAAAGAGAGAGTTTCACTACTGCACTCAGAAGTGTAAAAATAATCAGAGGGGGTGAAATTAAAAATGGGCAAATTCAGATGAGATATATGAAGCATATAAATGTTGAGAGATATTTATTTGAACTATTCAAGATACTTATAGTGGACTATAGTAGATCCTTTATTGCTAGGCATTAAATTAAAAAAAAACCTAATTCTGATTTTAAGACAAACCCCAGAGCAAACAGTAACATGGGAAACTTTAAAGGTAAGACATGATTCCTTGTTGAACTGTGCTACTCAGAACTGTCTGAAAATACAGGAAATAAAAGTACCCAGTACATTAATGTGTTTGAATTTTTCAAAAGGACAACTTTTTCCCCCTACATGAACAACCACCCCCACGCCCCCCCAAACCACAGAGTGTGTGTTTTTAAAAGAGTAGCAACAATCATCAACATTACAAAAATTGACAGCAGTCCTTAGAACATATATAATTGATTAGATAGTCATAAGTCTGGCCAGGTAGGTCTGAAGGGAAGCATGACTTTATCTAAAGAGGAGCTGAGATGTCTGTAATACCATTAGATTTTGTAGTTTGTTTAAAAAAAATTACAGAAAAAAAATACAAATGCATAAAAATATGTGTGTAAACATATACATCTCTAGTGAACATAACATGGAAGAAGATGAAGACATCCAGATTTCAAGTAAAATTTCCTCAGTGATTTAAAATTAATCTTTGTAACAGAACTGCCTGCAATTTTGGTTGTCTGGTATTTTTCCATAAATGTAACAGCAGTTCAATAGACTAACCTTATTAAGATCCAGATTCCACATTTTAATGTAACCATCACTGGATGCAGTAACAATAACATGTTGTCCTTCTCTTTCAAAACTATAGATATCTTTTATTCTGTGAAGAAAATGTAAATACTTTGTTACTTTACAGCATGACAGTTCACTTCAGAACAGTAAGCTGACAGAAATTAAAGATAAATAGGCAGTAGTCTAAAAATCAGTTTGAAGAGAAAGCCCACAAATGATGGGCAGGAACTTGGAATGGTAATCTGTTTTGAGTGCTGTCATTTACAGCAGGACGCTTGCCTTTGCTAGGCTTTTTAGGATTCAATTCAGAACACTTTAATACTTTTAAGCACACACTATTAACCACATAAATGACATTTTAACTAATGCTTTTGTATTTTCATGAATTAAAAGCAGCATTTGGACAAATATTTGCTATTCGACAACAGAGAATATGTGATTACCCTCCTACTGTCTGGACTGAGTACAACTGGTTTGTTTTATTTAAGCATTCTAAACAGTCAGATTCTGTAAAGACTGGTTAAACATTCTTTATACCCAATTTCAGAAATGCATAGACCACACACAGAGAAGAGTGTGTATGTGTGTGTGTGTGTGAATACACACACAGAGTCTCATAAATTTAGAACTGTAATATTTCTAATTCTATACCCTGTTGTTTTTGTAACGTGCATGGACAGCACAGTCCTTGTGCTCATACTAAAAGCAAACAAGTCTGTCCCAAATTTGGAATTTAGCACATAAATAAATTCACTTTCAATACTAAAACAATAGTAAAATATGCTGAACATTACAAGTCACTGAACTTCACTGAGTACTCAGCATTGCCATAAATATTTAAATAGTAAACAAATATAGAATACCTGTTTTCATGAGCTTTAAATTCACACAGGCATTTTTGAGAGTCACAGCTGTAGAACCTTATAATTTCATCATCTCCAGCTATGGCAAGGATAGAATCCTTGGAATGGGAAAAAAGAAACGCAAGTGTGATTAACTTCATGTGTTTCAAACCAGTTAATTTTCCAGCACCTTTCTTTTTTGTACTTACTGTAATAAATCTAAGTGAGGAAATCCTCTTCTCTGTTGTGATAGTGCCAGTGATTGAAGCTGTGTCAAGTTTGTAGATATCCACTTTATTTGTTATCACGGTCACATACCTCTCTCCATCAGGGGACCATTTAATTATGTGGGCATCTGTACAGACAGATACATTTGTAAATATATGTACACGGGTTTTTTGCACTCTGTATTGCATGAGTAAAGTAAGAATCATTAGAAGCTGCTAGATGCTGTTTTCTACGCAAACCTGAGAAAAATTCAGGGAAAAAAAACCCCAAACCCTAGAATAAAGAAGTAAAACTATGCTCTTAAATGTTTATTTCTGATTATCAGAAGTGTATAAAGAAAAACAAAACAAAACACATTTATTTAAATGTCCTGACATCAAATTTCAAGAAAAAAAAAAAATTACTTTAGTGTCACTATGTTTTCCTTCTGGTAAATGCTTATTATTAAGGACATAAGCTTACATATGCTTTCCTGCATGTGTAAAAAAAACATTGTGAAAGTTGCTTGCAATTAACTGACTTGTTGATTAATTTAGTCTACTTTTCTTTACACAAAAAATAAAACTATCTAATTCCACTTTTTTAGTGGCTTTAGACTGATAAACTCACTTTGCTTCAGGTTTTTGATAAAGGCTGATCGTCCTTCTACAAGATTCCAAGTTCTGAAAGACAACAACAGATAACGTGCATTCTGGTTAAAAAACAGCACAGTGAAACTGAAGTCCTATCTGCTGACATGAGGCAGCCAAAGGAAGCTTTTAAGCATCTCTATGCATTTTACTACATTCTTAATGCAAGAGAAAATGATGACTTCATATATCGCTTGCACACTGTAAGGTTGAATTTGTGGTATTTATTTTATAAACCACTGTTTGCAATGCAGAGCCCAAAAGGAGCCCAATACCAATTTGTGCTGTTAAAATAGCATTTTATGTATTTAAAACACATATATACAGCAACATGTACACACTCCAAGTGAAAAATTACTTTCTCACACTAAACAAAACCTGACAGCTTTCAGAAGTTTAAATAAATTTTGTTCCAAAATGCAAATGTATTTATACATCTACAAGTGACTATAAAGAGTCAGAGCACAAGAAGCTAGGAACAGCAAGGACTGTTAGAAGACCTTAAAATATTGCTGGTACCTAGAACTTAAAAAGACAAACCGACGGATCTTTGAACCATTTGTCCAAATACGTTTTATCACTGTTGCACAATCCCAACACGGATTTGTGGCTTGTAACAATTTACTAAGAGTTACTGAATTATGATACTCAGCATTCCTTCATCAGTTTCAACTCACCTTAATGTTTTATCTGTTCCTACTGACAAAGCTAACTTCCCAGAAGGATGAATAGAAAGAGATGTCACATGCCCCCTGATAAAAACAAAACAACGTATTAGCCACATATATTATTTACAAGGAAAATAAACATGAAAACATACATGAATATGCAGATTTAAGAAACTCACTTATGTGCCTTAATAGATTTCAGACATTCCCATCTCTTTGTGTTCCAGATACAAATTAGTCCATCTTCAGCCCCACTCAGTAGATGCGCAGTACCATAGAACTCCAAACAAGTTATTGTGCCTAGAAATACAAACCAGAGCTATTAACAATGTTGTACATACTGAACAGTTATCACACAGAGAACATATGAATTAACAGAGAAGCTTCTAGCATCAAAACATGCCAGCTGCTAGCCTATCCTTGGGAAAATCTTAATTATATCCCAAGTAGTTCTTCATGAAACCCCCGAACTTTCTTGTAATATTCAATCACTGATGTATCCTCTATCGGCCCCCCTATAGCCATACACGTCTGAACTCCATCTGGTCCATTCCCTGAAACAGCAAGGAATTCTCCTATGTCAAAGCCCTGCTCTTGACACACAGCTGAATTTACTGCACGTGCTGCTTCCCGTAAGCACCAGTTTTATTATACATGAGTTGAACGCAGGTACCACATTCAGTCTAGCTCCATGTACTTCTTGGTTATCAGGAGAAAAAGGACAATCAGGACTGAGCTACTAATGACCCAAACACATTTATTTGGATGGCTGTTAACTGCCGTATTACACAGCGGTAATTCAGGAGGCACTTAAAGTGGGAAATGTACCAGGTTAACTCTTCTGGCAGCAGCAGCAGCCTGCTCTCACACACAAACTCCCTTTTGTGTGGCTCACATATGTCTGTGACAGGACAAGGACACTGGGAAATGTGGTTGTTGGGAGTAGACATGGTCTAGATAAACTGTCCTGGTAGAACAAAAATGGCTCACGAGCCATTTGTGGGCCATAATTTCTTTAACAGTTAAAACTAAAAATAATTGGAAAAAGTGGCTGTATTTGCGGGCTAATAGCCAAAATGATTTTGGGGTTTTTATGCTCAAAAGCTTACCTTGCTTGTATCATCAGACCATTGCAGCTGCAACACCATCACTATTAAAAACTTATTAAAAAAATATTCAATTTTGTCCTTCTGGCAAGGGCCAGTTTTTCGGCTACAAGCTTCCATCATTAATGCTTTTTGCAAAGAAAAGCTCCCTTACCATTGTGCTGCAGCAGTGCCCCATGTTCTATCTTCTTTTTCATGTCATAGATTTGGATTGTCTCATCTCTGCTCCCAGTGACCACATATCTGTTATTCACTGCTACCGCTGACAATGAGGCAGAGTGGGCATGATGGGTAAAAACAGGGACAACCGTCCAGGACTATAAATGAAATACAAAATAAACAGGTCTTTCTGAAGCTTACCATTGTGAGCTTCGATTTCATCATCCTGTAATTTTTTTTTTTTTGAAAAAAAGCAAAACCTGGAAAAGCATATGTGCAAAAATGCAAAGGAATTATACTTAAGCTGTAAGTATAATGGGATCTTATTGGGTTAACGTGCTGTTAGGAGATTAGTCAGGACGATTTAAGCGTGCAAACCGCCTCTCGCGATCAGCGCCGGGCTTGGATGAAGCTGTATGCGAAAAAGTATCTGCCCAGAGATAAATCTCCTGGACAAGGAAGGCGGATTCTCCCTTTTTCCACCACTGCAGGCTGGAGACACGCCTTCCACCTGGCACCCGTCCCCCTCCCCGAGACAATGTGGCATCCATCCCCTGCGCAGCCGTTTATTCCCAGCTCTGCGCCGAAAGGCTGACGGGAACGAGCTCGCACCCCCGCGGCCGGCCCTCTTTTCCCGCACCTCGAAGGATCCCGCAGCTCCCGAGAGCCCTTCACCGCCTACCCGGGGCCGGCCGGCGGGGGTGTCCGTCGGCCGCTCCCCCACGCCCCGCGCCGGCGGCGAGGGGCCGAGCCTGAGGGCTGCGGGAGGCTGCTCCGCCCCCGCGCCGCTTTAAAAGCCCACCCGGCGCCCGGCTCGGCGCCCGCGGAGAGACGCGAGTCGGTGAGTAGCGGGGCGTCGTCGTCCCCCTCAGCGGCGAGGGGGGTTCGGGTGGCGGGGGGCCGGTAGGGCGCAGCGCAACGGCTGCCGCGCGCGGTTCCCCTCCCCCGTTACCTCAGCGGGCCGCGCGGCGAACCCGAAGAGGACCTGCTCGTAGCAGCCCGCTACCAGCTCCATCCGCCTCGCCACGCACGGCGGCACCTGGGGGCCCTGCCGCCCTAGGCCGCCGTCCGTCCGCCGCGCTGCCTGCGCCCGCGCCGTAGCACGCCGCGCCGGGTTGGGCCTTCGGTTGGAGATCGGTAGCGCTCCCCCGGGAGGGAGCCTACGGCCTCCGCCGACCGCCGGAGAGGGGGAAGAGCTCGTGGGGAGGTGAGGGGGCGGGCTCCGCGGGTCAGGCTCCGCGCGGGGCAGCCCGCGCGGGAGGTCCTCGCGGGGCGGAAGCGGGGTTCGCGCTGCTGCTGATGGCGACGCGGAGGATGAGAGACGTTAGTGCCGGGAT